CCCCAAAACCCCAAAACCCCAAAACCCCAAAACCCCTTAAAATTTCTCATAATTGCATTTAGATAAAATATTCTATATTAATGGGAAATCAATGAACTGGGAATAGGTTTAGCCAATGCGTCCGCATGTGTAAGCATTCCTTCTAGTCACTCCTTCCTCATCTGACGAATCTAGCATGAATAGAGACAAATAATGAACCAACAAAAAAGGATCCGAACCAATTTCCTGAAGAAGATGATATACATAAATAAAATTGATAAATATGTAGAAAACTTTCATCGTGATAAATAAGCATGTCAAGAACAAAAGGTCTGGTCACCCCTATCACAGAAAGTACACTAAGCATAGATATATTACACAGATGAGTGGCAGGAAAAATTGTGACAAGAGGATGTCTAAATCTGTCCCTCCTGAGCACCAGACTTGATCTCGTGAAGAATTTGAGAGAGATCATAACACTAGACATTTCCCTCAAATAAATGCTTCCAACAATAACCTCAGCGACCAGCCTGAGTGTGAAAATGGGATGAAAGGAGAAAATCCAGCTGATAAAGATTCTGGAGGGAGCTCCCAGAAATACCCAGCAGTCGGGCTAAACAAGCTTAAGGATAGGGTAGTAGACCAAAGGCCAGACAATGCCATGAATACAGGTCATAGTCAAAGGAAAGTTATTGCAAAAAGTAAATATTCATCTAGTAATTACGAGGATGGGACTTCTAACATGAATCTGTCTTTAAGCAACCTGAATTTCTCAGCCTTAGTCAAGGCTTATGATGAAACTCCTAAGGAAAAAGTCAAATCAAATGACTTTAACCTGGCAATCCAAAATGAGGAAAAGTCTGTAAGGATGGAGAACGAGGAAGGCTATGAGACGCCTAATCTTGGAATGAGAGGAAACCCCAGCTTGAAAAACTTGCAAAGGAATTCCAAGGAAATCAAGGAATTTGAAAGTATGGTGGTGAGTAATAAGATCATTCACAATATACACCAAGATTCTGGAAATTTAGACGCAGTGAATCTCATCATAAATATTAATGATAGGCCAGCTAAGTTTGTAGATGAGTATATTGATGAAGACTCCAGCTCCCCTGCAGTCAGCAGTGTTAGCGAAGAAAACTTGGAAGAAATTATAATGGAGAAGGTTGTTAATGTTCAAAGATACAGAAACCCAAGGGATTCTAGTTATAAGGAGCTAGTTGAAGAATATCAGCAGCGGTCTAGCAAACACTCACATCATAAAAATTTCAGCACTGGCAATCTTTTTCGTAATTTTTATCGTAGTTCTCGCCAGAATGATGCAAATAAATCTATAAGAGGAGAGCATGAAGATAATGAAGCTATCTTTCTAGAAGGAAAAATGGAGACTAATAAGCCAAGCCCTAAACGATGAATACCAAAGAAGAGCATGGTCCACGGCAAATCAAGTGTGGGATACAAACCTTTTGGCAAAAGAAGATTATATAATATTTTTCAATAATTTATAGTTTTACTGGGGTTTTGGGGTTTTGGGGTTTTGGGGTTTTGGGG